GTGCAGGAAAGTGCCGTAAAGTGCCACGCAAATGTCAGCGCTGCCACTGATAGGTGCTTCATGCGGATCCACGGCGGCGCCAGAGCCGTCACGCCGTCAAGCGGACTCGATCGTGGGGGAAATAGGCGTCATTTGTTGTATTTACCCAATTCTTATACGTTTAAAAAGGCTTCCCAACGTCACAGAAGAACAATCTCTCCAGCCAGCAAAGCCATCGCTCGGTGGAAATGTGAGAGTATGTTTCGGACTGTGAACCGGGTACGACCGTTGTCGTTTGCCTTTCAGATCCGAAATGACAGATTTTAACACCCAACACAATCAGCTGCCTCAACTGCCCAGGACAGGATATCTGGTCATCCGCCGTGATTTTACCTCCATCTGAAGCGAAGGCAGAATGACTTTCCATTACGGGGCCAGTCCCTTTACCACTACGCCACCTACTGCCCGGTATCCTCCCTGCCCTCGGCTGCGATGCCGCGCTGAACCGATGCCTTTCGCCAGACAGCGAATCCATGTCGTCGTTTCATATTAGTTAACCTAATTATGGAAAGTCAGTCTCATTATACAGATACGGAAGGCGGCTGGCTAATGCGGTAGCAGCACTAAATGGAGGAGTAAGCGGTAAAAATAGCGAGTTAATTTCCGTCGCAAATAGCCTCGTAACGTTGATATAAACGCGAGGGCGCGCAGGTTATTGTACTTACTTGTCAGGGGAAACTGCGATTCAAGGGTCCCCTCTTCTTTCAGGTGTCCCCCGCGATGATCACTGCCGATCGCTCCCTGGGTAGATTTAACCCCCCCAAAACCTAACACTGGCTTTAGTTCTACTTAACACATATTGAGGATTCTGGCGTTTCGGTCCGCGTTTATATCTGCTTATCCGTACTGTAACGACGGGACTCGCGTGACTGGCCGCCGGCTAAGCCCCGCACGCACTCGCACGCGCACATAAACACGGCGAGTGGTTCCAGGCGCGTCACTGTCTAAATGTGACGTCATCGCCGAGCCCAACTTCAGCCCGCCCCGGGAAGCGCGTCGCTTCTGATTAAACATGGTAATCCCACAGACAGCTTTTTCGGAGTTACTATTATTATTATTGTTTTATAATTTGTTAAAAAAAAAATGGACGAAAAATCAACTACCCAGTTTTTAGACCCAGTGATCGTTACGCTGCCTGTGCATCGTTCTGTGTTCCCCCCCACCAATAATTTGGGAACTCTCGAGTCGTCTCGACCTCCACGTCTCCCTCTAGCGATAGAAGTGGGTCATCATCTCAATGACCTATTTTGAGTAATTCTTTTGACATGGAACAGCTCTGCTGATGAAATTCAACCATCGCCGGAAGAAGTATTACCAAAAATGTCTAAAGGTTAAAACGCACTACCGCAAGATAACGTACAGTGATAATGGAAATATTATGTCATAAAACGGTTAATATTTGATTGCATTTCCCCATACTGAGTTTATGCTCCTAGTTCAGTGAGTTTCGGAAGTTAGAGTAATGTTTATCAAAGGAATAAGTAAAGGTAAACTACTGTCTAAAAAACTGATGGCTTCTCCCCACATCATTACAACCAGCTCTGTCCAAACCAAAGGCGGCCGACGTTTTATAATTATATAGGATAGTGATATTCAAACTTTTTTTGACTGGGCTCCCCAGACTTATATTCTTGTCGTGATTACCTAAAACCTAACACACTGACCCCAAATAAATTTCAAAAATGTCACTATTTCAGTTTATTGTGATATGTGTACAGGCATATATGTTCATATCATTTTCAAAGGTTGCAATTTCAAAGTAGGTCTGATCCCACCTGAAACCACAGCACAAACTTCTCTGTCATTTCTCTCACGTGCCCCCCCCAAGAGCTCACAGCGTTCATTGATATAGGGCGCGAATCTGTAGCGGTTCCACCACCTTTTAATTTCCCATCCAATCACTGAGAAAATATAATCATCATCCATCTGTTCTCGTTAAAAGAAACCGCTTATGCAACCCAACAATGTGATGAATCTGGACCAATATAGCCTACACACCGAACGGGATGCTGATCCATTACAAGGAACTCAGAAATACAAGTCTACTCAACAAAAGGAAATTTAGACACACTCACTCACCTAATTCACATGTGTTTGTACTCCGGGAGAAATTTTGGGGGTAGGCCTACCTGGATGAAGCCGACGCGTTTTCGGTGAAGTGCAAATTGCACGCCACTGAAAGTTGAATACAAAATGCAATCTACTGATCCATCGAACCGGCGATTCACGTTGTCTTGCAGAATAATTAATACAATCAGGGTAATTTAAGCATATGCGTAAATGGGTAGATATGACTGGAGGGAAGAGAGTGTAAAGCCAGCGAAAGTAGTGGGACACGTACTACTTCAAAAAGGAGTAACAATATTTAAAATGTCAATCAAATAATTTCCCAGTGAGTATGCCTTACTCACATGTAACGCGGAAAGCAGGCCGTGCATGATGGCACTAAACAGCGCGCCGCTCTCGAGCTGCATCGCCGCGCTCACACGTACGCGCTGTCCCGACACATTCATTTCAGCAGTAACCAGTACCCCAAATATCTTTGTATCGTAGGAGGTAACTAAAGATAAACCAAGGACAAGGACAGCCTGAGCTCACGGACCAGGCACGTGTGTAAAAGCAAAAATTGATGTCAAAATATTTTAAATTTCGAGGAAAATGTGTAGAACGTATATTATACCAAATTAACTCAAGTTTTGCCTTCAATCTACGATAGATCATAGTCCAGTTTTACGGGACAATAACGAATCCTTCTCATGTCAGTACAGAGGCTAAAAACCACATGTGGCAAATACAATAGATTTTACAGCAAATATTGGATTTTTTCGACAAATATAGGTCTCGTATTTGAGTATACAGTATAGCACATTGTTTTTTTTCTTTTACATGGATCAGTTTTTTTTTCGATTATACATGTGACAAGTAGGCTATACATATTAAATCGCCGGAGATAACCCAGGATGATCACCTATGCTGGAGAACATACGGACTTCCTAAGTCCTGACGGGCCTCAGTATTTGAGTTGTCACATTAGCCGATAGAAATCACGGATACAGTACCTGCCATTCAGCTGAAAACGTCAGCACCTCGGCCAGTAACAGTCGTTTCTGATTGTTGTATTCCGTTTTGGGCCGAATATAAGCTAGACAACTCCCCCACGTGTTCGATAACTAAAACGTTTTTTGAAATCTCATTTTTGCAAAGAAAAATATTTTTATTTGAGATGAACATATAAGAAGTTAACCGTATCCATGTTAAAAAAGCAACCACGTGCAACTGCATTACAATAAGTGTCAAACGGCAAACATCAAAATGTAGGCCTGTTTTTTTTATGGGAAGGGGAACAATAGATTATAATCGATACAGTACCACAAAGCCCATGCACAACGACAGAGAGCGCAGAATGTTTCCCAAACAGCACAGAAAAAAAGTATCGTGGTGAGTTTTTGAGTCATTATAATGAAAGACATAATAACCCTTTTAAAATAAAATACTCTCTTTTTAAACAGATACTCCTGATTTAATATAAGCAGCACCACGGACAGAGAAGCCAACAATTTACAAGACACTCACGGTTACACGCATTCCTCCGCAACCATTGTTCGGTTAAGATATTTACCATTAACAAAATTACTGGAATACACATATTAGTTTCATATATCAGTTTCACATATCATATATTAGTTTCATATGTATGTGTGTTTCATACACACATATCAGCTTATTCTGGGTAGCGGGTGGGATCAGAATAAACAGAATCGACACGCGGCCACAACCGCTTATACGACGTCATATTGCTAAATCGACGTCGATTCTGTCGATTACGTTTGAAGTATACGGCCAGGAGGTAAGTAATTTACGCCATCTACTGTTGAATGTGTATAATACCATTTAAATTGTAGTCCTCGAATATAAGACAATCCCAAGTTTTTGAATGTAAATTTAAATTATATTTGGGCCAATACAGAAATAAATTAGCTTCATGACTGCACCGCTGACTTCATCATGCCAGAAACTGTTTCCCGTTCCCGAAAGTTGCTCTTCATCAGACGATCAGTGGCGTGAACATGGGAATCGGCCACATGTTCGAACACCAATCAGAAGGTTTTTTTTCTGCAATTTAAATGGCGTGGATGAAAAATGTGTCAAATCTGTTGATCCCCTAATCTAACCTTGTAGAGCGACGTGGGTAAATACTGGACACAATTATCAGTGTCTGAGTTAGCATGGTAAATGTTGGGTTATTGTTAGCAGGTGTAATAACAATAATAACATTCTAACTTCAATCTAAATACATCAGAAATCTTTGGCAGCTTGCACTGAACCTGCAGTCTTTAGTCTCCGTATTCCTCTAGTGTAATTGTCACTGCTTCCAGATGTTCTACCACAGAAACCAATGGAAGTTGAATTTGATATTTATACTTTAAAGGAACATCTGCTCAGAGCAATGGCCATCAGCAGGCGTTGAGTACGACATCTCTCGGGTTGAGTTTACAGTACAATCCAGTCTGGGGTCAGAGTACCGACAAGCATGGATAGTATAAATCCCTTCCCCAAAAGGATTATAACTGAATGCCTGGTACATTCTATTAAAGCATTAAAGAACCATACCAGAGAATATGTCTGGTGTGATCTAGGTAATCCCCTGCATGCCAAATGAGAGAACTTTTTGTGTTCTCTCTCTTTACGAGTCAGAGAATGGGAATCCCCCTGCTGGTCATACAGTGCTCTTTTTCAAGTAACCTGTTTTGAAAGGAGTTGAATTAAGCTTGGCTGCAATCCCTGAGCTGGAAAGTGACAGGTTTGATTGTTTCCCCTTGGCACTTTAGGATAGATAGATAACCTGCTGGACAGTAACTCTCCCAGACCACAGTTATAGACTCCTGGATTACAGTTATAATTTAAAATGAGGCACCTTGAAAAAGAAGAATACACCAAACTTAGTCATTTTATTTGTTTAGGAGGTTTTCTGTTTTACATCTTTATATTGTTTATAAATTTCAGTTACAGGTCATTTATTACAGATTTTTTTTGGATAAAACAATATTGTCCCCACTGAGATATGTCTCAAGTTAGCTACAGAGAACAGAGATTATTATTCTACTCTATTCTGGCTCAGGTGTCCACCTGTGTTCCTTTACAATTGTAAAATTATATGTGATTGATCTCTATAACTGTAGAGTAAATGCAACATTGTTATTTAAGGTATTCAGTATAATTCAGAGCAAATGCAAGGTTTGTAATATGCCTTTCTCAAAACAAAACCTTAAATAGCAAACTTTAGATGAGCATACTCATTTTCTCCTTCAGTATAGTGATCTTCAGTCTTGCTTGCTGATGTAGGGCCCACCGACTTATATAGTAGCCCTGTGACCCAAACTGGCTAAAGCCGTGAGTATCATTATCCCAGTCCAGATGATCCCCTGCTGAGCTGGAATGGTCAGCAAAGTGGGAGGATGCAGAGACGTTACAGGCCCCAGGGCATCAGCGAGCCATATTCTCTCATATTCCTCTCTTCAAAAACAAAATCTGTAGCAAAGAAAAACTGATCATTTTCTTCAGTAGTTTTCTTCTAATCATCTACCCTTATCTTTTTTTTTCCTAAAGACAGAAACTCCCATAAGGTAGCATCTTAGCTCTTTGACACACATGTAGTCCTCCTCTTGTTATGCAGAGAACATATCTGCTGTGTTTGCCAGGTTCACATTGCGGCCTCCACAGAGCACAGGGGTGGGGAGGGGGGGGGTGTTCTGTCGGTGTTGAGAATGCAGGAATGGTGCGGCAGATTACGACCAAGTAGCATGGCAGGTTCTTCCTAGATAACATTTTCAAACAGTTGCATGGAATTCATGATGTTCTCATCCTAGAAAAGAAGAAAATAATGTACTGATGTGAATGACTGTGTTGTGGCTTTTTCTATGTTGAATGACAGAGGCTTATTTATCTGAGCTTTTGGCTGTGGTGTAATGCTAGCCTTGTCCCACTTCTGTAACCAGTCAACCAGGTAAACCATTCACCGCTGGCTTTTTCTGTGTCCCGGCGATACCTTTCGGCAGGTCTCCATGAACTCCTCGATGGTGACTACTCCATCCCGATTCCTGTCCATTTTCTGGAAAAAAGAAAGATTTTAAGACATTTGGTCTTTTTGTAAATCATACCGTTCATACTTATGTTTCAGGCAAAGGACAAAAGGAGTCATAATAATCTAAAATACCCTAAAACAGTCACTGTATCCCACTTAAGGAGATTGTTTTATGACTTTGCCACAGTTTGAATTTTAATCCACAAAGGGTCCTACTGTCATACCCTTGAGTGAGGAAATTGATAGGAGGCAGACAATAAAAGTTGCTTCTTTATCTTTGCAAAAATGTCAGTATAATTTTGTATAGCTATAATCTGATAAAAGGATCTGCAGATCTAAACAGTTGGTGATAGCCTAACTGCTTACAATGCAGTAAGGGTCTGGAATGCTTATGTGTGTATCATGGTATCACACATTATGTAAGGGGTAAGCTCTTCCAGATGGAGCACTGGACAGCGTGTGGGAGGTGCACCTGGAAGAACTTCTCCACATGCTCCACCGGGGCGTCGTCCCGCAGCCTCGGGGAAGTGTACTGACCCATCATATCGTAGATGGATTTCATGATGGCCAGCATCTCCTGCCAGACAGCAAGCACATGAGTCAGTCAAACCAGTCTTTGGCCAGCTATCATTTATGACACAACCATAACATAAAATGAATTAGTGGTAAGTCTCGTGCTGACTGATATTCTTTAGAAACATCAGCTAACCGCAAAATATTATCTGCTTAAAATAAACTCTAGTCACACATAAAGACTCTATTAGACACTGCCAAATGAGGTAATCAATCCTTCTTGGAGTCACACACCTCTTTGGTAATATATCCATCCTTATTGATGTCATAGAGGTTGAAAGCCCAGTGCAGCTTCTCGGTCACAGAGCCCCTGAGCAGCAAGGAGAGTCCGAGCACGAAATCCTGCAATGAGCCCCACGTGACACAGTAGTTAAGGGTAGAGCAGCTGACTCGATCAGTATGCCTACCCCCCGCATGGCATGCTGGGACCTGGCTGATTTGATGACGTCATCACTACTGGTGCTTTTCCACTGCCACCAGGAACCGAGATGAACCCGAGTGGCACCGCAAACCGGCGGTTTTCCATTGCAAAGCATGCGAGCCGTACCTGAGCCGCACTAGTGCTGACGCAGCTCTGCTTATTAGCAGGGCCAAAAGCGTGACCAAAGCGAGCTGCTGCATCACCACCCTCTGATTGGTTGAAAGCATGGAGATACTAGTGATCTGCGTCAATAAGCATGGATTATTTGAAGGAAAAAACAGCATATTTTATAATTTTTTAATTAGACGTTTTGCACATCACGATTTATTAATGCATTCCCGATAACTCAGAACTTGAAAATTTCCAACATTTCCTACTTAAAAAGTCCTGTAGAACAGTTGGAATGGATTCATAATGCAAACTCACACAAGTGAATGCTAATTCCTCTAGTGTCTGATGCTAACATAAACAGCAATTCTCACAGATGTGTGGAAATTAGCACACAGTAAAAAACAAAAAAAAAAAGAAAAATTTGCAGATAGTAAATCAAGATGTACACCATGTGAACAGTACATAGACGTCTCTTAAGTGTTACATCACTGTCGCTTTCCAAACCCAGCAACGCCTTTACCGAGCCGGCCCTTCTGCAGTGGAAAACCGAAGCGAGCTGGAACCGTGCTGTAACTAGTCTCTCTTCGCGGTACGGCTCGGTTCCTGTAAGCCAGTGGAGAAGCACCATATGAGATGTCACACCCATATTCCTCTTGCACATTCACACTTCACAGTGGGTTTCTTTTTTTTTTTTTGCTATATCCTGTTGAATGTTAAGGGCCATTTCATTCACATTCATACACCGACTCATTGGGCAAAGTACACTGTAGGCATGCATAGCAAAGGGCGATAGATACGGTCAAAGATAGCGGCAGGAAGCCCAGGAAACTGTAAGTGTTACAAAATAAACAAAGCACAGACTGTAAGATGTGGACACAGGCAAGAAGGAGGAGATGGGGTTTCTTAAAGTGACAGGGTGCAGAACAAAATACTTTCTATTACCAAAAATAAATATTAAATAACATAAAAGTCATGTCTCCCCCTGCCTCTTGACTGAAGGCTAAAGTCGAGGATGTAAAAACATGCCCTTTGACCCCGACTGTTTGATGCAACTTCTAAATGTTGTGATACCACAGCTAAAAATGGACAGCTACATTCTGGTTCATCTCGAAGGCATTCTGTTGGTCTGCTGTATTATCTTGTATTTGATAATGTTTTGCATTAACTGCACCTTCATAGTTCCTTAATAATTCATTCACAGAACATTCAATGCACCTTCATAATGCATTCATAGAACATTCACAAGAAGCATGTAAGTGTATATAAATATATTAAATAATTTGATTTGAATAATATTATTTTCTGTTCGAATCTGTTTCAATGTCGTTTTGTGTTCTGTTTCATTCCATTGGGTTCTTTCACAGTGTCTTGAGTTTTTTTCATGTTGTGTTCAGTCGTGTTCAGTCGTATTCATATGTGTTCCTGTTCTGCTAGCACATAGATATCATATCAAAGTCTCACCTCAAATCGGATAGATCCGCTCCTGTCTAAGTCAAAGGCGTTAAACAGGAAGTGTGCATACTTGGAGGAATCTGTAATGATTTGGAGAGAGTTCAGTGACTGGTGGGCAACTTATTCAAGTTATTAATTGGCGTTTAAGACAATCTGCCAACTTTTTCTACGTATATCACAATTCCTGACCTCTTAACGTCTTATCATTCATCACTATTACCTCTCTATATATCAGAGGCAAACTCTATTTCTATATATCAGATGGAAAGTTACATTACTTGACTGCACTGGAGTCCAAGATGCCCCTCACCTCCTTGAGGAAAAAAGTGAGAATAGATGGTTTTGAATGTCTCTTCATCCACAAGCCCACTGGGACATTCCTATTAGAGGGACAGCAAAGACTGGGGTAAATGGACAGAACGTCTGTCCTGGAGAGACACTGCAGTGCAGACTAAGGTGTAAGGCATAGGACAGACTGGGAGAAACCAACATAAGGAACAATGGACCACGCCCCAAAATATGACTCCACCCAGACCGACCACGACCCAAAATATGACACCACCTAGAACGACCACGACCCAAATTATGACGCCACCCAGACCGACCACGACCCAAATTATGACACCACCCAGACCGACCATGACCCAAATTATGACGTCACCCAGACCGACCACGACCCAAAATATGATGCCACCCAGACCGACCACGACCCAAAATATGATGCCACCCAGACCGCCCACGACCCAAAATATGACGCCACCCAGAACGCCCACGACCCAAAATATGATGCCACCCAGACCGCCCATACCCTGCTTGGCTCCCCGTCTTACATTCTTGAAGCCCCTGTAGAGCGACTGAAGCTCCTTCCTGGTGAACTTGGTCTGGGCAGCCAGCTTGTCCAGGCCCTGCGGCTGGTAGCGTGCAGCAGACAGCTCAAGGTCAATCTCACTGCCTTCTGCGTGTGTGTGTGTGTGTGTGCGTGTGTGCATGTGTGTGTGTGTGTGCATGTGCGTGTGTGTGCATGTATGTGTGTGCGTGTGAGAGAGAGAGAGATTGAGAGAGAGAGGAAGTTCAGAGAGAGCGGACATGTGAGGTGGGAGATGTAGCCATGGGAGAGATGGAGGAGGAAGAAAAGGGGAGATAAAAAGAGATTAGAAAGATGCAGAGAAAGACAGAAAATAATTTCTGACATAGAAGGCAATGAAAAATTAAACTTGAAAGTGAAGCAGCACATCAGTTAGGTAGCCAGCTGTGAGGTAAGTGTGAGCTGGACAACTGAGCCAAACCCCACAGGAGCTCTCCCCCCTCCTTCAGGGATAGGGGGGCTCTGTGGAAACCCCAGCAAAACACAAATAAACCAAACAAAGATGATCTTCTATCACTGGAGCGTTAGGCAGTGTAAATGTTTCCACTGCCTTACTTTCTTAACCAATAAGCAGCAGTAGCCTTGGTTTCATGGATGACTCACTGCATGTTTCCCTCCATATACAGTATATGTACAATGGAAAAAAATCTACCAAGCTCATTTAAAAAATTAGGAAGAGAAATCCTTACAGAAGGGTTGGTATGATGGCTAACGCCATCGCCTCGCACCTCCTGGGTCGCCTCCCCCACTCTCTGTATGTGCAGCTTGCATGTTCTGCATGTGTTGTGTGACTTTCCTCTGGGTATTACAGGACGTTCCTTTGCTTCTTAGAGTTGGCTCCAGGCCCCCACAATGACCCTTTATTAGAGTGGGTCCTTCACAGACATATTGGGGGGGGTAATTGCTGGTTCAGAGAAAAAATATTCATGGGGCACCACCCCTCGGAAAAAAAAAAGATTAAAGCGTCCCTAGTGCATAGTTCTTAGTTACTTATATGATCACACATTAGTGGGTGGGGTCTCTAACTCTAATTTCTTCTCATCTGGACGTCCCTGGTGTAAGAAACGCTGAAATCCCCTGTGGTATCGGATAACCACTTAGATGGATGGAATTCTTGACAGGAAAAAAACACTGCAATACTTCACTAGATGCCGCTTGCATAATATAATCTGTTTTTGTTAAATGAAGCCTGTAAAAATCTGGTTTGGCTGCAAACAATAAGTCTGCATCAAAGAGTGGGAGCAGAACAATGTACAGCATTACAATGAACACAATTTCAGTTAAATGAATTTAACGGAAAAGTTCAATTCTGGCTTAGTACTTTTGTATTTTTAACAACGCGCAGAAACATTCTGATAGCTACATGAGATGGAGAAGAAAACGAAACATTTGGTAGCGAGCTGTGCTTCAGAAGAGAGAATAAGATAAAAAAGCCATGCAGAGATGTGGGAGGAGAGACACGGAGAGGAGACGGAGTGGGCGGCCAGGAAGCAGACGGCAGAGCGGTGAAGAAGCAGCATGGCCACATAGTACACGAGAGAGAAGCATCCGTCCATCTTCCAGCCAGTCAACCTGAGCAGTGTCGAGGGGGGGGAGGGAGTTGGGGGATGGGGGTGGAAAGGTGGGGCGGAACCTATGCCAGGAACCATAGAACACAAGGATGTGGTACAACCTGGACTGCATGAGGGACATAGACAGATCAGAAGAAAACAGCAGGAGAGGAGAATGCAAGGCCCAGGTACATCGTGGTCGGTGTACAAGTCTATCAGAGAACAAACACACACAAGCAACAGGAAACTGAGACATGCCATTTCACCTCAGCACATGAGGACCGCAGGAGACCACCTGTGGCACACTGGGGGAGACTCCACACAGATACAGGGTGCAGGAAGGTCTCAAAGCCCCCAACCCTGGTGCTGTGAGCCAACGATGATACCTCAAGAATGAATCTCTGAAAGATTTATGTTACTGAAATAGGGGGAGTTTTTAAGAAGTGTAGGGTCAAAGGCAAACGGTATAGAGGCAAGGATATTCAACTGGAAAAGGTGAGATTAGATGAAGGGTTTTTGTAGCGGCCGCAGGAGTAATACTGCTTAGCCCTTGAGCAGAGCACTGGCCTGACATGAACTCAGGAATTCATGCAGCTGTATGGGAAGGGAGGGGCGGGAATTCAGCATTAGCTAGGCAATGAAATAACGAAGATAATATGAAAGGAGCAAGTGATGTGGAGAAAGAGAGGAAAAATAAACAGTGGGAGCGTCAAGGGGTTTAGCGGATGAGCTGTGCCTGTCAGCCCAGCAGGGGAGGAGAGCAGGAGGCGAAAGGAAGGGAGCCCAGGGGCCTGTGCAGGATGGGGGAGCAGAGGAGCCACACTGACGAACCGTGGGAAGAAGATAGCCAAGAAAACAGTATATGAAAGGCCTGGGAGAATCATGGAGGGCGGGGTTAGCATCAGGCCCATCTGGACGTAATGCAACTGGGACCAATAAGGTAATGGGAGATGTGGGTCTGGAACAATCATGGAGGGCGGGGTTAGCATCAGGCCCATCTGGACGTAATGCAACTGGGACCAATAAGGTAAGAGGAGATGTGTGTCTGAAAGGCCTCATTTGCTACATGGAAATTACAGGCGGCTTACTGCGGCATTACTACACCTGCACTGTTTAGACACATTTCCTTATGCATGATTGGAAAATTATGGGGATGATGTGTGGCTCTGCAGGTGAGGTGCCTGTGATCAGAAGGTTGCCAGTTCAAATCCTGTGGTCAGCAGAGTCTTTTCGCCATCGGGTCCGTAATCCCCACTGCTCCAGTGATCGGCTGACAACGTTCATTGAATAATATGTCACTTTGGATAACTTAATTGCTAACTTAATGTAATGTAAACATAACGATATTGTGGGAAACACAGGCAAAAAAACTCCATTCAGCTGTCTTTCCTCCATAGATGCTACTGAGTAACTCTCACCTAAAAGCCAGGGACAACTGTTGATCCCAAATAATGAGCTTTCATCATTGGCTGTTTTCTGTAGTAATGCTTTCAGGCTCCTCCACCTACTGTCCTTTACACGTACGGAGCTGTCAGTAATTGCAAAACTAAGTGTTCCAAACTCTCTCAGCTGACCAACATTTACACATACGCAGCACCAAGGGACAGTGTCGCATCTTGGAAAAAAAAAGTGCAAGAACATATTTCGTCATTCATTTCAACAATCTATGTTCACAACCCCAGGTTCTCCATCCATCTATCCATCCATCATCCAACTTTCGATCACTTAACAGAAACACAGTTTTATTCCTTATAAAATCCTTACCTTCTATAGGCAAAGGGTCCAAGATGCACAGTTGTTTGAACACCACCACAAACAAGACAATGATAACACCAATGGTGAGGATTTCCATGCCCCAGAAGCCCCGGTGGCCGGGGGCCGCTGGCAGTGCGCAGCGGTGTGGGTGCAGGGAGGATGGGAAAGCAGACAGGTTGTGAGGCGTACACTCCGGGTGGATGCAGCTCGCAACCTGGAGGGACTGGTGCAGCCCAAAACTAGTGAAGTGGGTCAGCATTGTGAGGATCCATCTTTGGCGGTGCAGGCCGGATACACAGAGGGTTTTATAATAAGTGTGATCTTGCTGGAAAGGGAAGGTGAGTCACCATGAAGGTTCTGTGGTTCTTCATTTTATTATTCTGTTCCCAGCGTTCCTCTGAACCCCTACTCAGGCAAAACGGGAAAGCCACTGAGATCCAGACCCGGCATGAAGACGGGAAGAAAGGAAGCCCTTGATGACAAAGACGATGGCTGATGCGTGTCCGTCAAAATTGCACGGCGAAGCCCCTCACATAGTGCTCCACAGGAAGTCGCGGAAGTGCTGGAATCTGATTGACGTTGGTCCCTTGCCTTGAAGGGTTCCCTAACGACGGTCCTGTTCTCTATGGTTTCCACAGAAGTGGCGGCTGAGGGGATGCTAAGCGTTCTTTGAGACAGAGCAGATTCCCAGCAGCGATGCTAGATGATCGTGTGTCCGTCATGAGACGCTAATTGTGACACATTGAGACCTGCGCGAATTAATTTCAAAGATATTCTTTCACGCTCTCTCTCTCACACACACCCACACAAGCACTATATAAGTGAAAAAAATAACAAGATAAATATTCAAAGTCCCTATTTTTTTTTTATCAGAATCGCTGAGACTAGAGCTCTGCAGTATATCTTATTCAGACAGTTCTTGAGAGAAATCAGAGAGCAGAAGTTTTGTGTACCAAAAACAACACTATTGCTCTTTGAAAAGTTCTAAATATATTTACCAAAGTCTGAGTATCACCTTCCATTTCATTGAGACCAAAAACAATTCCACATCCAGGTGAAACAAAAATATACCCCATCCAAGAGAAAAAAAACGTGCACTTTTCATAGATTGGATGTCTATAAATTTACAGAATGATTTCCAGAATTCCACCAGCAGCATCTCTGGAAGGAACTTGTTCAGTGGGATTTTTGGTGTATTAAAATTTCCTCCATATGGAATGTGCAGGACCCTGTGACTGAGAGAACAAAGACTACCATCGCGTTCCCCCCCCATCACACCATCCTATGTCTGTCATATGGCCAGTCCCTGAAGTACGTCAGACACTGATCTCTCCCTCTTTCCTCTTGCATTTCCCACTTTTCATCTTCATCTACCAGTGCCACACCCCCACAGTATCTTTAGATATCTTTAGAAATACTTTCATATAAACACTGAAGGGAGAAATTGGGCTTCAACAGCCCCAGGGGGTGGAGTTCACAGGTGTTGTCAATCATTGGGGACTGTCAAACATTCCACTGGTGGTTGTTAGAAGTTTATGACTGGCAGCACATAACAAGTGACAGCGCATAAGGCCTGACAGCACATAATGACTGACAGCACATAACAAGTGACAGCGCATAAGGCCTGACAGCACATAATGTCTGACAGCACATAACGAGTGACAACGCATAAGGACTGACAGCACATAACGACTGACAGCACATAACGAGTGACAGCACATAAGGCCTGACAGCACATAATGAGTGACAGCGCATAAGGCCTGACAGCACATAACGACTGACAGCACATAACAAGTGACAGCGCATAAGGCCTGACTGCACATAAGGTCTGACAGCACATAACGAGTGACAACGCATAAGGACTGACAGCACATAACGACTGACAGCACATAACGAGTGACAGCACATAAGGCCTGACAGCACATAATGAGTGACAGCGCATAAGGCCTGACAGCAC